AACTTGCCCTACGGGAAGTTAAAAATTTTTATATATCTTTACGTTTCAAAGGTTTCTGAACATTTTGGCATACCTTAGAAAAAATGGATGTATGTGTGTGTGTGTGTGTATGTGTGTGTGTATGTATGTACGTGTGTGTATGTATGTGCGGATACAAATTTTCGTCGACGATTTCGAGAACACGGATCAACCGATTTGAATAATTCAAAAAACATTCGATTCGTATTGATAAGAAGACGTGCTGATTAGTTTTTGGCGAAGGCAGGTCTAGCCGTTCCGAAGATACGGGGCAAAAAGTGCCAAAAACGGTACCTCCGTTTTTAAGAGAACGGAGCGTCCGATGTGAATAATTCAAAAAACATTTTACTTGTATTGACAAGATGTAGAATTGATCAAATTTTCATAAAGGCAGGTCTAGCGGTTTCGAAGATCTAATGAAAAAAGTAATAAAAAATGCCATTCGGCGGTTAAAAATGATCATTAGACATATGCACATCAAATTATCAGATATTTTATAGAGATTTTAACAATAAGTATATTTTTTTTTTACATTTTTATGGGTTCCGTACCAATGCTTATGCGTTAAACGGCGGCGCGGCACTTGCGAGCTTTGACATTTCGTCTCCATGCAGTTCAAGCAGTGCGATTGCTTTGAAAACTAGCTGTAAGTGGAATTCTGTCTTAAGGCAATTAAGGCATCGTGCCTTAAGGCAAATTGCTGGAACTTCCCGTACCAAAAATTATTATTTTTTTTAAAAACGATTAACATTTTTGAAAAAAATTTACTTTGAAAAAATAAGATTTTTGAGAAACTATAAATTGGACAAAAAATAACTTTTTAATAAAAAAAAATTTTTTTTAATTTTTTTTTTTTCTGAAAAAAAATTTTTTTTCTTTATTTTGACATATTGTGGAAGATTTGAACTTTTTTTCAAAGCAATCGTACTGCTTTATCTGCATAGGGACAAAATATAAAGCGCGTAAGCGCCGCGTCGCTGTCTAACGCATAAGCATTGGTACGGAACCCATAGGAATGTTAACAAAATGTATACTTATTGTTAAAATCTCTATAAAATATCTGATAATTTGATGTGCATAAGTCCAATGATCATTTTTGACCGCCAAATGGCTCATTTTTTTACTTTTTCCTCCATATTTCCGAAACCGCTAGACCTACCTTCATGAAAATTTTATCGATTCTTCATCTTGTCAATACAAGTAAAATGTTTTTTGAATTATTCAAATCGGACGCTCCGTTCTCTTAAAAGCTGAGTTACCGTTTTCGGCACTTTTTGCCCCGTATCTTCGGAACGGCTAGACCTGCCTTTGCCAAAAACTAATCAGCACGTCTCCTTATCAATACAAATCGAATGTTTTTTGAATTATTCAAATCGGTTGATCCGTGTTCCCGAAATCGTCGACGAAAATTTGTATCCGCACATACATACACACACGTACATACATACATACATACATACATACATACATACATACACACACACACACACACACACATACATCCATTTTTTCTAAGGCATGCCAAAATGTTCAGAAACCTTTGAAACGTAAAGATATATAAAAATTTTCATTTTCGATTTTTTTGCGATTACTATAACTTGCCCTACGGGAAGTTAAAAAAGTTCAGAATTTCCAAAATATGTCAAAATGAAGAAAATATTTTTTTTCAAAATTTTTTTTTGTTTTCAAAAAAAATTTTTTTCTCAAAAAAAATTTTTATTTTTTTTCGAATAAAAAATTTTTTTTTGTCAAAAAAAAGTAATTTTTTGTCAAAATCATATTTTCTCAAAAATCTATTTTTTTTAAGTAAAATTTTTTCAAAAATGTTAATCGTTTTTAAAAAAATAATAATTTTTGGTACGGGAAGTTCCAGCAATTTGCCTTAAGGCACGATGCCCTAATTGCCTTAAGACAGAATTCCACTTACAGCTAGTTTTTATTTTAATTACAATCTGTCACACTTAGGACTTTCAGTAATTGTTTTGACTTTTCTTATTATATGAATCTTGAGTGGATGGCAACCCAGTAGTTGTCCAGTACAGTTATGACTAATTATCTATACTCAAAGTATTTGCTGACATTTTTATTATATATGCAACTATACCCATGAGAGGCAATTTTCACTTTTTTTTAATTTATTTTTTTTAAATTTATTTTATTGTTTCCACAGCAATCAGAACTCTTTTATTACTGTTCCATAAGCTGTTTTTTGTGTATGACTTATGATCTAAGGTATTGATATGAGAAGCAACCCATCGGTTATCATTCTCCTATGTGTGGAGTTTTATTAGCTCTTATGTCTAATAGTGTGGGGGTTTTATTAGCTCTTATGTGTAATAGTGTGCATATGATTGTATGCAACTATGTCCACGAAGGACGATTTCCACTTGGAATTATATTGTGATCTATAACCCCAAGTGGAAATTTGACATCAAAGTTGCCTGATGTCAGACTTGGCGGTAGCGAGAATCGAACCAGCGAGCATGGGTCTAGTTGGTGCTAGTCCACCAACCAGATTAATTTATGGTCTAACCAAAAATCTAATTAATTTAGTTATATAAATTAATTAATAAACTAGTTGGGTGTATGGCATCGTGCCTCAAGGCAAATTGCTGCAACTTCCCGTAACGTAACGAAATGTTTGAAGAATACTGAATGTTTTCAAATAGATTATTATTAATATTGTAACAGTGTCTAATATTTATAAGAATTATATAAACTGAATTGCAAAGTTGAAATTATTTGTTTAAAGTATATTAGAACTATAGTCAGAATTAAAAATAAAATCTGAATTATTTTCGATATACATTTTTTTTTTTTTTGAAAAACAAAAAAGTTGAAACAAACATTTTTTTTTATCTAAAATCAATTATTTTGTTAAGACAAGCATAAAGTTCTTTGAATCGTTTAAATCGGACGCTTAGTTGTCTCAAAAACTGCAATTTTTTACATATTTTGCTCCGTATCTTCGTAATGGCTTGGCCTGCCTTTGCCAAAAACGAATAAACACTTCTCGCAATCATTACTAATTGAATGTTTTTTAGATCATTCAAATCGGATACTCCGTTCTCTCAAAAAGTCGATTTCTATTTTCAGCACTCTTTGCTCCGTATCTCCGAAACGACTGGACCTGCTTTTGCCAAAAACTAATCAGCTCTTATCCTTATGAATAGGAATCGAATGTTTTTTAAACCATTCAAATCGGTTGATCCGTGTGACCGAAAACGTGACTGGAAATTTGTATCCATACATACATACACACACACACAAACATCCATTTTTTCTGAGGTATGCCAAAATGTTCAGAAACCTTTAAAATGTAGAGAAATGTAAAAATTTTCAATTTCGATTTTCGGCCCATTACAATAACTTACCCTACGGGAAGTTAATAATTAAAAAACAAATGGGTAGCGAGCCTTGGATGTATAATATTAATTGGGAATCTCATTGATTCTTTTCTAATGATATGCACAAAATATTTATATTAAAAACAAACCGTTGAAAACTTCACCGACACAATGTTAAGTAGCAAAATCTCAATTCTTGTTTTAAGTCATCTACACAAATCTAAAAGTTTTGCAATTTGTCTCGAAACACAATTCAACCAAGGCCTAGTTTTGACAAAATGATATGTACTATTCCATTAAAAATTTTTTTTAAGGCTAACACCCAACTAATATTCATAGGGAACAGTCGACTCCTTTTTACTGATATTAGTAAAAATTTCAACACTAAAATTGCAACTACAGATATTACTAAAATGTATTTAATTAAAGTTAAAAATTATAAAACTACGGAAACGAATGGATTGTATTTTAAACCATATTGTTATTCACCAAAATTGAAAAATCACATAAATTCAATAATTTATTTCCAACCTCATGAATTATTTTACAAATAATATTTTATTAAATGAATCTCTCATTATATTCCATATTTCATCATAGAATATCTGCTAACCAGGAAAGCAATTCTAATCAATCGTAATCTTGGTTTTAATATAAATTCGGGATTACGAAATATTCACGAAACAAAAGCAACTGGTTCATAATAATTATCGCCAAAAATGATAAGATAGAAAATATCGATTCATGAGACAGGACCAGATAAATTTTGACGCTTCTAAATGATAACAATTATCTGAGTGATTGATATATCCTATAATTTTTAAATTGTCGATATTTTAAATAATAGATTTGTTAGCATTTAATTGCTATGATAATTCTATATTTTCTTGAATAATTAAATATGAAAATATGTACTACCAAAAATTAATGCAAACGAGTCGGCTAGCAGTATAACATCAATTTTTTCTAACAAGGTATGCTAAAATGTTCAGAAACATTTGAAACGTAAAGATACATAAAAAATTTCATTTTAGATTTTTTGCGATTACTGTAACTTACCCCACGAAAAGTTAAATATAAAGTTTTTGTTAAATCGAAATTGTTCTGTTTAATATTCAATGCAATTATAATATATTATATAACAGATTTGTTTTTGATATATTAATTTTTAATTAAAAAATATTTGCAATAAATTAATAATTGTAAATGAATTTTAGAATTATTATTATATAACTTATAAATTGCTCATTCGAAAAGGTAACGAATGAAATATGAATCAGAAGTTCTTTTACTAAAATGTGCTAGGTAAATTATTTAAAATTACTTATTACGGAATACACAAATATATATTAATTTATTTTGTAAAAATTAGATTATCCATGCTTAACCCTTGGTCATTTCAACAATAAACATTTTGTTCGCATTTTGTACAGATTAATTGTTCGGGTAAATATTAAAATATGCTATTTGACAAAAAATCATTGGACTGCCAAATTCTGATACGATCTCATAACTGATAAAAAATTATCAGTAAGATTATACGATTTTGTGGATATATAAAGGTGGACAACGTTATCCGCAACATTGCTTATAAAGACCTTTTAGTGTAGTCTGTGAATAATAATAAGTTCAGTGATGGCTTCTGTAAAAGTCCTTGCAATTTTGTGTCTTGTGGCATTGTTAGCACGTGAAGGTCAGTGACATATGATTTAGATAAAAATGAGTAAAATAGTGCAAAAAACGGATTATTTTTACTAATTATTGAATTATATTTACTAATTAAATAAAATAAAGTTACAGAAAATTTTTCAGTAAAGAAGGTTATTATAGATATAGACTTTAACCACATTAAAAGAATCGTGTTTCTCCATAGAGAATTATTGTGCAATACTGTTCCGCAAATTAAAATGTCGCAATATACCACTATTTTTATGAAAATATAGTGAAAAGAAAACAAGTTTCAAATTTGTTATATAGCCAAGCTTAATCGATAATGCCAACAATAATAACATATATATATATATATATATATATATATATATATATATTAGGGTGGTCCTTAATGTCGACATTTTCGAATTTCCTTGCTCCCAAGGGCTCAAATGGTTCCAAATTGATAAAAAACAATTCTCTGAAAGTTTTAGCTCTTAATATTAACGTTTAGATAGAGCGCAATTCAATCAAAGTTTTGTATGGAAATAGCATAAGAAAATTTTCAAAAATTTTGCAGAGCGTCGAATTTTCAATGAAAAATGACACGAATTTTCACTTTTAATTTATTTTTCGCTAAGTTATACCTAAAAAATTTTTTTTTTAATTTTCAAAATTTTTTTCATGCTATTTCCATACAAAGTTTGATTGAATTGCACACTATCTAAAAGTTAATATTAATAGCTCAAACTTTCAGAGAATTGTTTTTTATCAATTTGGAACCATTTGAGCCCCTGGGAGCAAGGAAATTCGAAAACGTCTATATTAAGGACCACCTTAATATATATTCTTTTTGATTGTTTCGATGTTGATATATATATCTATTATTTTATCGGCCACTACGTCAAATGAAAAAATAATGTACTAAATTGTGTTACATTAGTATTAGTAGTACTCAGTATGTGTCATCTTTCAGCTAAAATATAAATATTGTATATAGATATTTGTAAGAATACAGCAAACACAATATAAATAAAATAACTAGAGGTGAATGGCATCGTGCCTTAAGGCAAATTGCTCAAACTTCCCGTACCGTAATATATATTTACGAAGTATTAAATGTTTTCATATAGATTATAAATAATGTAACTTATATATGTTTATAGTAGAGTAAATAAACAATACTCAATCAATCGAATTTAAAATTTAGAACATTGTATAATATTTATAAGAATTATATAAACTGAATTGCAAAATTAAAAATATTTATTCGAAGTATATTAATAAGTTTTAGAACTTTAGCTAAAAAAAAATAAAGTTCGAATAATTTTCGATATTCAAAAAAAAAATTTTTTTTGAAATAAAAAAAAATAAAAATGTTGTTTTTTCCAAAAGCAATCGTTTCGTCAACACAAGTAGAAAATTTGATTCATTCAAATCGGATGCTTAGTTCTCTCAAAAACTGGCATTTTTTGCACATTTAGCTCGTTATCTCCAAAACGGCTGGGCCTGCCTTTGCTAAAAACTAATCATCACTTCTCCCCGTCGTTACAAATTGAATGTTTCTTGGATAATTCGAATCGGATGCTTCGTTTTCTCAAAAAGTCGATTTCCATTTTCTGCACTTTTTGCTCCGTATCTCCGAAACGGCAGGATCTGCCTTTGTCAAAAACTAATCAGCACATCTCCCTGTTAAAAGCTATGGAATGTTTTTTGAATCATTCAAATGGTTTTAAATTCAAAGCGCGAAAACGTGGACGAAAAAATGCGGACATACAAACACACACATTTATTTTTTCTGAGGTATGCCAAAGTGTTCAGAAACCTTCAAAACGTGAAGATATGCAAAAATTTTCATTTTCGATTATCGGCCCATTACTATAACTAGCCTACGAAAAGTTAAAAAATGTAAAAGTATGAAATAAACTAGTGGTGCATGGCATGGTGCCCTAAAGCAAAATGCTGAACTTCGAAGAATATTAAATGTTTTCAAATAGATTATTATAAATGCTGCAACTTTCATTATTCGTATTTTATAGACAAAATATAAGAGCTTATAAATTGGGCAACGACTCTCATATACGTTTACATGAAAAGTAAATAAATAAAACTTGATCAATCGAAGTTAGAATCAAGGATCCTTTACCATATTTCAAAATTGTTTTGTTTGGAAATTTTGAACAATTTTTTTTTGCTTTTCCCAAACACTGATCGTTTCTTCAAAAACAAAATGTATTTTGAATTATTAGAATCGGATGCTTTGCTCTCTCAAAAACTGTCACATTTTACACTAATCAGCACATCTCCCTATCAACAGAAATTGATTGCTTTCTGAATGATTCAAATCCGGTACTTCCGAAAACGTCGACGGAAAATTGTATCCACACATACATACAATCGATTGATAAAAAACTATTAGACCTCATATACATGTAATAATACCTGATTCTGTAATTTCAATAATTGTCGATTATCATATCCTAGAAAAAAAAATTAAACACATGTGAACGCGTAAATAGTAATTTGATATTGCTTAACATATGTCCGCATTTAATTTTTTCTAAATACATTTTTACGAGTCATCCAGTTATGTGAGATATAATGTAATGCAATTCTTGAAACAGGACATTCATTTAAGTGCTACACTTGCGACAACGACAATTGCGGAGATCCTTATGAAACAAAAGAAGAAAATCTAAAAGTATGTACAGGACCAACAACTACGCCGACCGGCGGAACTACCCACAACCCTACCACTGAGCCAACCGGCGGATCTACCAGCAAACCTGGCCCGACCACTACAGGCAAGCCTGGCCCGACTACTACCGGCAAGCCAGGCCCGACTACTACCGGCAAACCTGGCCAAACTACTACCGACAAACCTGGCCAGACTACTACCGACAAACCTGGCCAGACTACTACCGACAAACCTGGCCAGACTACTACCGACAAACCTGGCCAGACTACTACCGACAAACCTGACACAAGTACTACCGACAAACCTGACACAAGTACTACCGACAAACCTGGCCAGCCTACTACTGACAAACCTGGCCAGCCTACTACCGACAAACCTGGCCAGCCTACTACCGACAAACCTGGCCAGCCTACTACCGACAAACCTGGCCAGCCTACTACCGACAAACCTGGCCAGACTACTACCGACAAACCTGGCCAGCCTACTACCGACAAACCTGGCCAGCCTACTACCGACAAACCTGGCCAGCCTACTACCGACAAACCTGGCCAGCCTACTACCGACAAACCTGGCCAGCCTACTACCGACAAACCTGGCCAGACTACTACCGACAAACCTGGCCAGCCTACTACCGACAAACCTGGCCAGCCTACTACCGACAAACCTGGCCAGCCTACTACCGACAAACCTGGCCAGCCTACTACCGACAAACCTGGCCAGCCTACTACCGACAAACCTGGCCAGACTACTACCGACAAACCTGGCCAGACTACTACCGACAAACCTGGCCAGACTACTACCGACAAACCTGGCCAGACTACTACCGACAAACCCAGCCAGATTACTACCGACAAATCTGAATCAATTACTAATGACAAATCTAAAATCATCGATGCCCGTGATTACAACACTGTTATTCACCTGCGTCGCAGCAAACGGGAATCAGAAGCTTCAGAAGAGTTCAAATGCTTCAAACAACTCGTTAAACACGGTCAGTTGGAACCTTATAAAGTCTAAATTTACAATACATTACACAACCTAAAATACATGTAAAATACAAATATATATATATATATATATATATATATATATATATATTATTATTATTATTATTATGGCAGGTGATCACGAGCACTACGTTAGAGGCTGCGCCGATGCCACTAAACAGTCAGAATGCGGTGACGATGACGATTGCCAACTGTGCGATGAAGAGGGATGCAACAGCGCTGGATTAGCGTCGTCATCGGTTGTCGCGATCTGTTTCGCCATGATCTTCGCACTTTATGTAGCTTTATAGGCAACACAAATAATTTTTTTCAATAAAAACTGCGTCATTATTAATTCATCAAAGCAGAATATACATTTAGTTATAATAAACACTCCTGTCACAAAATGGATGACCGGAGTCCGACCGTCCGTTTCGGATATTCATCAAAAAAATATACACGATTTTTTGTGTCATAAATTAATTATTACAAAATAAAAAAATAACTTGTAATATTTCTTTATTATATAATTTTTATCAATATCTGTAATGTACTTTATACGAATATATATATATATATATATATATATATATATATATATATATATATTCAATAGATAAGTCCTGGATTTTTTCAATATATTGATTGTTTCTTTTCCGAACAGTAAATCCAATAATAAAAAACAATTTGTTTTTTGAAGATGTTTAATACGACGTTTCGGAACTAGGTTCGTTCCATCATCAGGTTTATTCTGTAATAATTTATATATCCATATCACTAATATTTTTTTTTTTTTTGTTAAAAACACTCGATTTTTTTGGAAGATATTTGTAGATGTTACGACTACACAAGAGTGTTTAAGTCTTGTGTAGTCGTAACATCTACAAATATCTTCCAAAAAAATCGAGTGTTTTTAACAAAAAAAAATATTAGTGATATGGATATATACATTATTACAGAATAAACCTGATGATGGAACGTACCTAGTTCCGAAACGTCGTATTAAACATCTTCAAAAAACAAATTGTTTTTTATTATTGGATTTACTGTTCGGAAAAGAAACAATCAATATATATATATATATATATATATATATATATATATATATATATATATATATATAATATAAGAATGGAAAAATATATTTAATGCCCTTATCGTCGCTGTGGATAAAAAGCAATGAGTGTTAGCAGAAAGTTGAAAATATAGTCTGCTATAGAAAACGGTGATCGGGTCGTTTTCTCTTCATAAACATTTATTCTGACAAAATTCAAATCTAAAATCTGTAAACATGTACTATGCCATCCATAGGGACGTATAAATAATAAATAAACTGTTTTTTGTAATAAATAATGTTATAATCTAATAATTCAAAGTTAATTATTTTTATTATTTATTGTCAGAATGTTAAGCACGGTTTAATTGATAGATTTGTTATATGCTAATAATACAGATCAGTTTCTCCTAAATAGCAGAGATAATTTTCATGATTAGAATCTTTGTGACGTAAACATAATCTATGATGCTGACTGCTCCAGAATATTTGCAGGTACATAATAGACAAAATTTGTTCTTGTCAATTTCTACCATAAATTATAAATATGAATAAATTCGGTATTTTTTATTATTTTAATCATTTGTTAGGACCTGTACAAATAAAATAGGCTAATTTTCTTTTTCATTGTGAGATAATAAATATTGTCAAGAATCACGATTTGAAGTTTAGTTTTGATGTCATTAGTCAAAACAATAACAAGATATACAAAATTCATGATTTTTTGTCTCAATATTACACAGTAGTAACATCTCTTAGAAATACAGATAGCAATATATTTCTAAGTCAAAATAGCCTTTACCCAGCACTGCTGCATCAATGAATAAAAATGCATCACATAAAGATGAGACAACTGTTTGGGTTGTCATCCATAACTCTATAAGGAAAAACAAACGTAGCATGTAAGTAATTCGTCACAAAAGCTAAATATATTAAATTATATTTTTATATTATGTTACAGTATGTGCTCATGGTAGTAGTATTTGTAAAAAGTCAATAATTAAACTAGTTGGTTTGGCATTTAGCCTTGAGGCAAGTTACATGAACTTCCCGATATGTGTAATTAATCGACTTAATCAATAAAAAATAATTTAATTGATGAGTGATCAGAAGTATTCCGAGTGAATTTTTTACACATGATTGAAAACGAGCGAACACTTTGACTCGGAGTATTTTCTAATATCAAATTTTCAAAAATCACCAGTTTTAATAATTGAACCAGTTTCCATAGGACTTTAATGGTTTACTATGTTCATTAAAACCAAGTACTCTATCGTCATACGGAGTAAATCGTCAAATTTTAATTTTAACAAACGTCAAAAAAACTACTCATTTTCTTAATATTTGATTAATTTTTAAAATTAAACTACTTGTCGTAAGGCCGTGATATTTCAGTAAGTTCTATAAGACCATGATATATATCGCCAAAAAAGTTCCATGAAAATCGGCTTATATTTTTTTTTCAACAGTTAATTACAAGAAAACGGCTCGGTAGATTTTCACCTAAAACTAATCAGTATCATTCCCAACTAATATCTTTCGAACTTTGATTTTTTAAAATCGATTCGGTAGTTTGAGCTTAAATGTGGACGAAAAGTTTAACACATATTTTCAAATTACAAAGAAACGGCTGGGTAGATCGTCTCACAAAACTGACAAACGATAGTCCTCATTGAGATACATCAAATGGCTTTTAAATTTCTGAAATCGGTTCAGGCGTTTTTGAGAAAACGTCGATCAAAGGTTTAATTTTGTCAAATGTCAAAGAAACGATAGTAATTTTTGCAAACTTTGACGATTTTTCAAAATTAAACGACTTGTCGTAGGGCCGTAATATTTTAGTATGATCTACAAGACTATGGTATCTACCGTCAAAAAAAAATCATAAAAATCGTCGATTTTTTTTTTTTTTAAACTTTATTACAAGAAAACGGCCCGGCCGATCTTTACCAGAAACTAATCAGCACGATTTCCAATCATCAAAATCAAACGGTTTTTGAATTTTCAAAATCGATTCAGAATTGCGGGCTAAAACGTAGACGAATTATTTTTCACTTTTCTGCGATTTACGAAGAAACGGCCCGGCCGATTGTCGCACAAAACTGAGAAACGCTAGTCCTCATCGAGATACATCGAATGCCTTTTAAATTTTTGAAATCGATCCAGCCGTTTTTGAGAAAACGTAGATTTACGGCAAAAAATCTGTTCACACATACACACACACACATACTTTTTCCAAATTTGGTCTCATTCGATTCAGAATGGCTTGAAACGTCGAGAAAACATAAAATTAGCAAGTCGGATTTTTTTATGAAAACATAAACTTCTCCTTCGGGAAGTTAAAAAATACTTCTTCACAGCAAAACATTTCACAAACGCACACCAATTATAACATTTTACAAAATTATTATTCGACTTGAAGTTTAACAAAGGGGAGACTGGATTGGTTGTGCGAGAGTACGGTGTGATAATCGTCAAAATGGTAAACTATACTAGTAGGCGCTCTACGTCACCATGATCAGTAGACCGCATTGCTTTCGAAGAGCCAAAAGAAAGTTTTTCTGTTCTATTTATCTTAATAGTAACTGCTACTTGCACACAGATAGATTAATTTGTTTGTTATTTTGCTATAAATTGAACATTAGTTCGATCATAATGATGATTTGTTTCCAGAAGTGTATGTTGGGTACGGTTGTGACAAATTTTGTGGGTACGGTTGTGACAGGCATTTTACAAAGATTTCTTATTAACTTTGTTTAAAAAATTATGTTTTAATATATATTGTTATATATATTAAATTCATACGTTTTTGTTTGAATCTCCGTGTCTGGGGGTTGCCTTGTATGATTTGAATTTATGACTAATCCATAATATTTAAGGACAATATTTCACTATTTTCAAGTAGACAAATGTTCAATTTACCATTTAATTTACATTTCTCCCAACTAACTGGTAAATTAGAAAAATTAATGCATTCATCGTTCTATAGGATAAAAAAATATATGTTAGTCACTACTATAATCCGGCTAAGGATAATGTAATTATCAATTTCCCTTACTAAAAAATATACTAAAACTAGTTGTGTTTGGCATCGTACCTTAAGGCATATTGCTGTAACGGTAAGGAACGTCCCGTACCGTAGCGAAATGTTCGAGAAATATTAAATGTTTTCATATAGATTATTATAAATACTGTAACATTGTCTCATATTTATAAGAGTTATATAAACTAAATTATATATTTAAAGTATATAAGTGAGCTTTAGAACTTTAGCCAAAATTAAAATCTAAATTATTTTCGATATACAGAAAAAAAATTGAAAAAAAAAAGAATTGGAAAAAAAATTTTTTTTTCCAAAAGCAATTATTTTGTCAAAACAAAAAGAAAGTAATTTAAATCATTCAAATGGACGCTTAGTTCTTTCAAAAACTGCTATTTTTTACACATTTAACGTGGTATCTCCCAAACGGCAGTTCCTGCCTTTACCAAAATCTAATCACTTCTCCCCGTCATTACGTATTGAATGTTGTTTAGATCATTCAAATCGGATGCTCCGTTATCTCAAAAACTCAATTTCTATTTTCAGCGCTCATTGCTCCGTATATCCAGAACGGCTGGACCTGCCTTTGCCAAAAACTAACGGAAAGTTAATAATAATAATTTTCGCTGATTATATATTTTATATACTTTATTTTAAACAATCAACAAGCATATTTATAGCCAACCTTACATAATTCATAACAAACTTTTTTCACGAAGCCATCTATCTAATTGATTCACACTAATGGCCGTTATATTCATCATCCTTATAACTAATTAATATTAGAGTTCGTCTCATACTCACCACACAGTCGTTATCGATTGTTTGAGACTCAACTCAAAAATCAATCTATTTTCTGTTCATGTTCCATATTCACGCAATTTCAAACAAGTGTTCCCATCATTACCATGTTTTCCCACTCTATATTTTGTATATT